CCCCCCATGGAACATGTACCTACGGGACACCCCGGAGAGCCCTGTCAGCACCCGGCGGGGGCTCACCAGGTGCTGCCCCCTCCCTGCAGGATGAAGCGGCGATGCCCACTCCAATGCTTGCAAATGGGAGGGCATGGACCCCTCGGCTGTGCCCCCCACCAGGTGACTACTTGCATGTTGACGCTGGCTCCCAGCTGCAGCATGTCCTCGAGCCCCCGGGCCACCCGCCCCGCGCTGGTGCTGGCGTGCGCCTCCCCCCAGTAGTCCAGCCAGCCCGTGTAGTACTCGGAGTTCACCTGGGGGAGAAAGGGACTGTCACCTGCCTGGAGCTGGGGCTTCTGGCACCCTTCTGTCAGCCATATCCCCCCCTGCTCACCTGCAGCCTGGCCCCAGCACCCCTCTTTGCCTCACCCCCCCGGGTCCCTCCGCCTTCCCAAAGCCATCATGGGATCCCTCCAAGCTCACCAGGGGCCCCTTTGGCTCGACCCGGCGCTGGGCACCAAATGCCTCTGTCACGTTGGAGTCTGCAGAGGTGGTGGGAGGGAGGTTGGAACAGGACAGAGCTGGGACCCCCATCCCCTCTCCTCCTCCTCCTCTGCCACAGGGGTACAGGGGTACCTGGCCCAAAGTCGACAGTGGCGTAGAGCCCCTGCAGTGTGCCGCAGCGCAGCTCCTCCACCTGTGAGCCGTCAGTGGTGAAGAGCAGCACCTCGTTCCCCAGCAGTGCCCGGAAGGAGCCCAGCAAGTGCCGCAGGTACTCGTAGTCACAGGCGTAGTAGCTCCCGTATTCGTTCTCCACCTGCGAGCAGGGCAGGGGCCGGCACCCAGCATGCACATGGCAGGGTTGCAGCCAGGTCCCACCCGCGCACTGGGATGAGCACCCAGCTCCCCCCTTCCCTCCTGACATCATTAGATTTCATGACAGCCCCCAAGTGCGTCCCAAGACTGACCTTCCAGCCCCACTATGACCCCCAGCTCTGCCAGTGTCCCTCAAACCACAACTGGGGTGGTGGCAGGTACCGCTGAGTCCCAGCCCTTGGATTTAAACCCAGGCCCAGAGGTCGGGAGGGATTTATCTAAGAGCTGTGCTGGATGAGAGCACGGTGTAGGGAGTACAGGTGGCTTTTTTGGGGCATATCCAAAGATGACTCAGAGCAGGGCCAGGGCAGGGGTCCCACAGCACCCTACCTGTACGCTGATGATGTTGCCCCCATGCTGGTACAGGCGTGGCTTGATCTTGGGTAGCAGGACATGGAGCCAGGAGTCCACAGCGGCCAGGTAGGCTGGGGAGGGAGAGGGCAGCTCAGCCCGGCTGCAGCCCCCTCCCCAGCCCACCCACAGCCAGCCCTGCCGGGAGGAGGATGGAGCAGACGGGGCAGAGCTGGGCACAAAGGGAAGCAGAGGTGGAGGACGAACTACGGCGCTCCCAAAAGATGGAGAAGAGGATGGGAGAGACCATGCAGCAGGGCTGGTGGGTGTGTGGAGAGAGACCAGTGTGCCGGGACTGGCCACCAGGCTGTAAGGTCACGGTGGCCAGAGCCCTGTGCCCAGGCTCACCGGGGTCGGAGGAGCGCAGGACGATGTCTGGTTTCCACAGCAGCCAGGCAGGCAGGCCACCCTGGAGAAACATGCACAGCCGAGGGGGAGGCAGAGAAACTGCTCAGCAGTCCGGGCTGGTGCACAGCCGAAACACTGCCAGGGCAATGCTAGTGCTCGGCACCGGACTGGCATGTGTCCCGGAGGGCGGCAGCCTGGGCATGGCTGGCATGGCACCGGGGCTGGCGTGCCAGCCAGAAGGGCCAACCCCTCCATGCCCTTCCTGAGCCACCCATGACCTCCCTGTCCCAGAGCTGGGGCTCACCATCTCCCACTCCGCACAGATGTAGGGCCCCGGCCGCAGGATCACCAGAAGCCCCAGCTCAGCGGTCAGGTCCAGGAAAGCTTCCACATCCCGGTCCCCAGCAAAGTCATAAACCCCTGGCAGCGGCTCGTGGTAGTTCCAGGGGACGTAGCGGGGGCGAGAGGGGAGATCAGCACACGGGGGCTAAGGCCACCCTGGAACAATGGGGAATCGTCCCACAGGCTGGTCCCCCTGCTCCTGGGAACTGGCCTCCAGCCTGGGCTGAGGACAGCAACTGGGGCTGGACTGGGACTAGCCGAGGCTCAGGGTCATCTCTAGCAGGGGACGTC